TTTACACGTCTCTAAACTTCAATTACCACCTCCCATATGTGTCTATAACTATCTACAGACAGTGACCAACTCCTTGGACGCTGGGTCAAAAGTAATTAACGTATTGATGTGGCAAACACATATACTATTACAGTTATTTGGAAACTTTAGAACATTTCCCTACACGTTTTATTCGGGAATATATGTCAAAATGCCATTGCTAATCTCCGTTACTGCTGCATTACTTATATGAAATATACCTAGAGTCTATGTAAAACTAGAAGAGTTAGAGTTCGTGGGTGATATTTATAAAGCGGACTAACCACCGTGAACTGTTAGTGGCAACGTGCTTAAATGAGTCCACTATTGATTTCAGACTAACTTCCCTAAACAAATATAAAGTGTAGTAAATTAATCTCTACATTCTTCATTGATTTTAATTTACAATCACCCATTTTTTAGTCCATGGAATTTCCTTTCGGGAGTCCTAATGTTTATGTTTTATGCAAGCTAGGAAAACCTATCACACGGCTACTACCGAAGTAAGGCAAAGTTTAACAACAAAATGCGAGCCGCATTGAAAACCCTGTGGAGTGAGGTTGTCTGTTAGTGTTCTCGAACTCTGCATTATGCCCCAAAACATTCGTTATCACCGACCACTCGGTTTACTATCGGCTCCTATACCCACACATCACAGAGACGGTAGAATTTTGAGGCATTTATTATAAACAAAGAGGCTTAGCTTTCCCCTTTTGTGTTTTCGTAACACGTGTTAAATTTGGTTAGGTTCCAACAAAGTATTGTTCTAATTAGCCAAAAAACTCACTACCTCATCACTCTATAGTTGCAATTTTAGTTGCTGTCATTGCCTTTTTTTTTTAGAATTTTTTTACCTCTATATAATGAGGCCCACATTTTAAGAGGAAATAGTTACCCTTACCTGAGTGTAACGGAAAATTGACGGCGGCTGTACCCCACCAGAGGAAGCCAATAAAAAGAGCGAGGAGCCCGAGCCATAGTGGCCTTAATAAACAGACGCGGTAGAACTATGGGTCACGGAATAAAAACGGCCTCCTAGCTCAAGCTCTCACTTTGCCATCCTCGCTATTAGCTCCCTTGATGGTCCTGCGTAGAGGCCATTTAGGAGTCCTGTGACTCGGGCGGGAATGACACAAGCGAGTGACGACCTGCTCACGTCGTGTACGTGACTAGACCGACGTCAGTCTGCTAGTCTACACGCCGCAGTAGTTGTTTGCCTGCCAGCGAGTGCACTGCGAGGCCTCGTTCGCAGGAAGAGAATTTTGATAAGCGGAGGACACACCAAAGGAAGTCAGAGAGGTACGAAGGGACCACCCTCCTGAATCAGCGTCACTTTGCTGCGTTCACTCCCTGCGTTCCTTGGTAAATTGGCTCTCACTCTACCGTGGCTACCATGCCCTACGACCTCTGGAGGGACTGAGTTTATGGCGGCCGGCTACCCTTCTTGTAACGTTAGTCAACTTTCGAGAAACGCAGCGCAAATACTTCGACTTCCTCCGGAGCCGCGCCGGTCGCGCTGCGGTTTTTCTGGGACTGGTTCGCACCGATACCGGGTCTGATGTGGCCGGTCCAGTGGACCTCAGCGCTGCGGCTGTGACTGCAACGCAGCGGCTAGAGAGACGCATACGGCTGAAGCTGGACCTTGAGTGGCGTTTAGGCTCGGCTCGTTGCATACTGACGCGTACGGCACCCTCACCGTCTTGAGAGAATGGTCACCGATCCCGCCATCACACAAAGGCTAGTAGTTTTCTCCACGTTGTGCCTGTCGCCTTCTGTCTCTTCTTTCTTGTCTGAGCGACACTATATTTGTTTGTTGTTATCGCAACAAAGAAAAGTAAAAGTGAGACAGGTACTTTTGTACTTTGCTTTGTCCTCGCAGATATTTGGCTACTCCACTTTCATCGGCAGGCACCACACCAGGATGAAGGTAAAAATTTCAGTCAACAAACTGAGCGAGTGACAGGCAATTGCATAGAGTCCGATGACCTAGCACGATCCCAAAAAGACTAGACAGTATAAGATCAAAATGAGACAACGGCATGAGGCCTCACCCACACGGGCTGCGGCTAAGTTGTACCAACTTAGCCGTCCTCCCTCTTCCGAAGTCGAGCCGCGCGTCTCTTCGCTTGCCCGCGCGCGCTCGCGTGACACGGCTTTCCGCTACGCGCCTGCGAGTACAAAGCGGACTGAGGGTCAATGAGGCTAAAGCCCGGCCAGACCGGGAATACCTGCTAGTCCTCACTCTGACACAACAGTTCTGTTCCCGACTCCATTTTTTTGTTGAAACATATAGAAACACTCCGACTACACACGCAACAGTAGTCGACACATAGTTATCTACCCTAACTACGGAACAGAAACAATACACTTTGGGCGGTTAGGGATCCGACTAGTCTCAGTCTGTGTATTAGTGTAGTTTTACTTTATACCACTAGATATCATTAATAATACCTTGAGTAACTACACGACGTTAGTCATAAGCTAAGAAATCAAGCATAACACATAGGCTCTACAAATTTACCCCACTGCTGTTGAGTACGAGTCAAGTGACCACAATGTCCAAGGAACTGGGTCGTTAATTGAGTGTAAGCGAAAAATGTAAATCAAAGTAACATCTCGGTCTATACATCAACTTAGGAAGTAGTGGGTATCAAACTTATTACAGACTTTCCCCGTCACGAAAGCGTTCATTTTTTCCACTCCGGCACACACAATCAAAACACGGCGACAAGCACGGCGCGTGACCATGCTCGCGGCTGGCTCACAGCCAACATGTCTGCCGCTTGGAGATATTTAAAAATATCAGAGAAAGAGGCGCGGATTGCGATTTGTGTTCAGCTGACATTTCTCGAGGGGGTGTAACTGCAAAAACTTTCAACACTTCGGGATTACTCCACCACTTGAAATCAAAACACCCGGACAAATATGCGGAGTATGATCAACGTAACCCTGTTCTCTGACATTCGGATATATTTTTTCGGTGCTAAAACTTTTTTAACCATTTTCGGCCGATAATTTTCGGTGGCCGAATATTCGGTGCATCCCTAGATTATGGGTATAGTGTCTTCGGCAATCCTAAACTCCGAAAACAAAATGTGTTTCTCAGAATCGAAAACACAAAAGCATTGTACACAATTTAAACCTATCAATGTTGTGTAATTAACAAGGATAATCTGATGTTTTTGAGCTGATGAGTAGTGCAGATATCACTGTAAAATCAATCGACAGTAAGGAGAACACTTACGTCCGGGTGTAAAATCCTCCGTTATCCAATGGGAATGGACGCTCACATTGCCTTTAACTGCCGCCGACATGGACGGATGCGGTGCTTCCCTGAGCATCAAATACCGCCACTGATGGGAATACATTGCAATCAGTTGAAAGCTCTTTGCGTCCGTTCATGAAGCTGAAGGAGACTCCGCGCGTCACAACTAAACACAACAAAGGACCCTGACCAAGTGTCGCTATTGGACGATCAGGGAGTGAGACTGTGTTGTCTTTGACATTAGATATCTTTGGAATTCCAAATGCGTTCTGTATGCAAATGATATACATGTTTTATACTAAAGTATTGGTGCTGCATGGAGATTAATGGCAGCTTGGCAGTGCATAGGCTGTTGAATTAGCTTTCCCCGTCTCTTGGGCTCTGTTTAGCTCCTGTCTGCCAGAGAGATGATAGGTCCTGCTCTGCAGACAGGGACATCCCAGAATAAGTGACATGCCATCTCTGCATTAACTGTTAATGCGTATAGGGCTCAGTTACATATCTGCATTGAACACTAAAGTCAGTGGAGCACTCTGCAGCCTGTGCAGATGTGTAAACATGGTTTGGTGGTACTGAGTATGCATTAATGACAGCACTATTAAATAGCAACTGAACTGCATTTCAACAGCCTCGTCAAAGTTGAATGTTGGCTTTATGAAGTGTTATATAAAAGTATATACGTTATAGTCAGTATTGCACACAACTAACAATAACCTCCTCCAGCAGTGCGGCGTAAGATTTTCCTTTTAGTGAACACAATAAAAGTGTGTGAAAGAAGAAGAAGAAAAAAGACCATCACCTTGCAATTGCTGTGACACTCCAGGGAGCCTCACACAATCCTTTCACAGTCTTTTCAGTCGTTTTAATCTTTAGTCCATATCCATTGTTCATGTTCCAACAACAATCCTATAATTATGTCTTTTGTTATTGCAAAGCTTTGAGGACTCCTATATGGTCTGTTTTTTGTGTTGGTTTGGAGGTTTGATATTCCGCAGAGGCAGAAGTCTGTATAAATTGCCTGTGTAATTAGCAGCGCTTTACAAATGACCCGGTCAATATTGTTGGTTGTCCTGGAGAAAAAGACGAAGAAAAGCAACCAAAAAAGTTTCTTGTTTCTTTTAGTGATATGTATTTATTTATTAGTTTATTCCATTCATCCATCCATCCATCTTCTCCCGCTTATCCGTGGTCGGGTCGCGGGGGTAGCAGTTTCAGCAGAGAGCCCCAAACTTTCTTTTCCCTGGCCACATCAACCAGCTCTGACTGGGGGATCCCAAGGCGCTCCCCGGCCAGCGAAGAGATATAATCCCTCCACCTGGTCCTAGGTCTACNGGCATTCGGTTTTCGGCCAACTGTTTCCTATTTTCGGTATCGGTTTCGGCCAAGAATTTCCCATTCGGTGCACCCCTAGTCTCTTCCCAGCTGGACGTGCCTGGAACACCTCCCTAGGGAGACAGAGAGCTTTGCCTTCTGGCTCAGCTCCCTTTTCGTCACAACGGTGCGGTAAAGCGACTGCAGTACCGCTCCCGCTGCTCCGATTCTCCGGCCCATCTCAAGCTCCATTGTTCCCTCACTCGAGAACAAGACCC